AGGGAGTCTGCTGTGCGGCATGACCTCACCGCTCCCTGTTTCAGTCAGTCTGCAAGGTGCCCCTCTGCCATGCCAACGAAAGACCATGGGGGTGGAAGACTTCCCCTAGGAGACAGGCCGCAGCGCAAAGCCAGAGCAAGGGCAGGCCGGAGTGATTCACAGAGAATTTGGGCTGGAGGGGACCTCCAGATGTCACATCTGGTGCAACCCCTGCCCGAGGCAGGATCAGGCCTGTGCAAACCATCCCAGACAAATCCTTTGTCTAACCTCTCGGCTATTAGCAATGCCCTGTTCTCAGTCACTGGGAGAGCCTAGAGGGTCCTGGTCCCGCCAGCAAAACCCTGCTGAGATATGGCTGAAAAGGCCCTAAATGCCCGGGAAGGGCTTGTCTTGTACACAGGAGTGGGACTTCCTGCAAAACAAGCTATGGCGTGGAACAGGTTGGGGGAGACAAGGGGAGCCCTGGGGTGAGAAGTGACCCCTACCCCCACCCTGGGGCACACACAGATGCTGGCCCCTGCCTGTCACTCACCTCCCACAGCGTCCCCTCTTCTCGGAGCACCGCCAACACCATCCCCGCGGGGATCATCAGGCAGGAGAAGAGCCCCATGAGGATGCCCAGGACCTCGGCCCAGAAGGGGAAGCGGTAACTGCCATACTCCGAGGGCTGGTACTTGATGATGTTGTAGACTAGCAGGGCCTGCAGCACAGGGCAGGGGGGAGTCCAACAGATGAGTCCGTGCAAACCCTGCCGAGGGCTTCAGGCTCCCAACCAGACCCTGCTGGGACCCCCCACCCCAGGGCTTCCTCGGCTGGGATTGCAAGGGGTGACATGGACCTGGTCAGACAGTGCTGAGTGGAGGTCCACAGCCAGGACACTGATACCAAGGTGCGAAGTAAAAGAGAGGGGGGCCTTGGAAAGGGATCTGGCCCAAAAGGCATTGACCCTTATCCCATGGAGCAGCTTGAACAACGGCCACGGGGCCACCCCGGTTACCATCATCGTCACTGGGGACAGGAACATCCAGCAGGCTTGGAAGTAGCGCCCGGGTTTGAACCCCAGCATCATGTGGATATCCCGGCAGAACCGCTTCATTCCTGGAGAGGCAGAGGGAGGAAACATCAGAGATGAGCCTGCACGGCTGCTGCCAACAGCCTCCCCGGGCATGGGCATGGGCACAGGCCTCACCGCTCAGCCATGCTATGGCACAAGCCTTGCGCTAAGGGGCTGATCACCCCACCCTGGAGCCCCCTTGTTCCTCCACCCTGCTCCCGCAGCCCCATCTCTGCTGCCCCTCAGCCTTGTCCTCCACCCCGGCAGCATCGCAATGCCCGTCTCCTCACCGTAGATGCGGGTCACCACCAGGCAGGTCGTGATCACCACCACCATGAGTCCAAACCCGGCACTGTAGTCATCCAGCAGCACCAGCCAGTACATCCCACCCTGGAGGGGGAGAAGGACAAGGCACCAGCCTTCCCGGAGGGGTGCTATATCCCCAAAGCCAAGCCCCCTGCTTCACACCCCCTCACTTTCCACCCCAAAGCCTCTTGTGCCCCTTCTCAGAGATGCAAAGAGCGCTAATGTCCAGGTCTCCCATCTGGTTGTGCTGGTCTGCTGGCCAAACCCAGCTCAGATCTCAACCATATGCAATTTCCACAATGGTATTTAATAAAAGAAACCGGGGTTGAGGCCTGGATAAATCCTCCGCTGGGAGTGACCCAGCTCTGTCCAAGCCAGGCTTCTCCCAGCCTGCTGCCAGCTCTCATGGGGAGCTCTGCTCATCTTTCCCAGTACCCTCCCTTCTCTGGCTAGGGACAGAAGTTCCACATCAACCGGTATAAGTGATCGGAAACGGGTCCAGATCTGTCACACGACAACAGTTCAGTGCACATAAACCACTTGCAAAATGGCTGAAACCAGTTTAACCTGGATAGATGTAGTATCAGACTTAACTGATTTAGGTTAAATCAGTTTATTGAACTTCTGTCCCAGATCTCTGTGACTCAGTCCCCGCCACAGGCGACTGCAGATCTGGCCAACTTCCTCCTTGCAGCTCCTCCATGATGGGAGCTCCTGGAAACCCCAGGCGCGGTGGGCTCTGCTTACCTCTGTTGTGAGAATGAGCCCCATCAAGAACAGGACGATACAGATGATGGCCGAGAAGAAGGCCTTCTTGGGCCGCAGGTAATAAGGAAACTCATCCGTCACCGCAGTAACGATGGTTTCCATGAAGGCAAACTGCATACAAGGGAGGGGAGAGGGCTCTGAGTGACGTGAGCCACGTGCTGGGGCGCGGGTCACGTCTCTGCCCAGCAGCCTGTGTCCTTACCTGGCTGTCCAGGCCCAGGGTCAGCAGCATGAAGAAGAAAAGGAAAGACCAGAACGGAGAGAGAGGAAGCATGGTCATGGCCTGGGGGTACACCACGAATGCCAAGCCGGGACCTAGGGGACAGGTAGAGGACGGCACAGTGAATGGGGTCGTCCCTGCCAGGGGCATGGTTCTCTGCATTGATGCAGCTGGAAGGCAGGTCTGGGCAGCTGCCCTTTTCTCCCCCTGCCTTCAGCCACAGCTACAGAGGTGCTTGCTTCCATGCCTGGCCCCACACGTGTCTCCTCAGAGCGCAGCATCCAGGCCCTGAGCTGCCTCTGGCTGTTCTCACATCCTAGCCCCCTTTTTGCCCCAGTCATATGGAAAATAGACCCCCTTGCAGCACGGTCTTTAGGATGAGATTACAAATGGGATTGCTGACAGGTATAGCACGACATTTCGATCAAGCCATGCATAACCAACACAGGGCTCATGTAGTGGCATCAGTGCTGGCTACTAGCTCCTACATACCACCAAGCAGCTATACAGTGGGGGTCCTAATTGAGCAGCTGCGTTTTTAGTGGGGTCCTTCTCAGCTCTCTGCTTGCTAACAGTGGTCTCAGTAACTCAGGGGGACACGTTCATCCCTGCAAATGAAGTTTGCAGAAGAGACACGGATTGGAGGAAGGGGAAATGATGACGGCTGACACAGAGCAGCCTGGATCGCTTTGCAACCAGGCTCAGGTAGGCATTATGGCCAGATGCAATATCCGATGTCCGGGAGTGAAGACTGAGGGCTGTACCGAAAGGATGGGCCTCTCTCCTAGGTTTGAGGTTCATGGTAGACAATCTGCTTTATGCAAGAACTCAGTGCAATGGGAGTCTTGAATGGGATGGGGAAGTCCTAAGACCTCTGTGTGTTTAGCCCTGAAGTAACGCATCCACTTCTGGCATGCACAGTGCCAGGAGGATGCTTATACACTGGAGAGGATGATGTGAATGATATCAAAGGGTGGAAGCCATGTGAGAGACCGGGAGCTCCATCCACATAGCGTATGGAAGAGAAAGTGAAGAGCTGGCTTGGTCACAGTTTGCCTGTACCTATGTGAGGAGCAGGGCTTTAATAAGGGGTTCATCAGAGAAAGATCCATCCAGATCTGCAATGGCCGGAGGCTGGAGCCAATCTCTTCAGACTAGGAAAAGGCAGCATATTTATAAACCAGAGGGCATTTAAGCATCACAACCACAGACCTAGGGTTGCAACAGATTCTCCCTCATTGGCCCCTGTTAACGCAAGGTTGGCTTCTGCTCTAAAATAGGCACCCGCATTGCAACAGGACGGAGCCCAGGGTGGCCTGCGTCGTGCGGAGGAAGGGGGTCAGAGCACACGAGCACAGCAGTCCCTTCTGACCTTTCCTCTGAATCCATTAAGCAGGACCCCGCAGGCTGGCATTTGGGCTGCTGCTAGGACTCCCGGCGGGAATGCAGCGAAGCTGCCCCGCAGAGAAGAGCCAGAAGACTGCAAGCAAAAGCAATGCCCCTGGGCAGGGGGCACAGACAGAGACGTGGCAGAGGAAGAATCAGCTGGAAATGCTGAGCGAGGCCGCGGCTGGCGGTCCAGCGCCCTGTGTTCCCGGTGACTGCAACCGTGCTGGAGGCACGGAGACGCCCCGTTACCTCCTTGCCCAGGCAAGCGCCTGCCTCTTCTAGCTGCTGAGATGGCCAGTTCAGATCCTTAAAATCCTCAGCTGGGGATTGAGAGGTCAGAGGCCGGGATCCGTCATGAGCTGCGGTGTGACCTTGACACATCCCCCTATTCTGCTGTGCCTCCCTGGTCTCCATTTGACAGGAAGACCGTGGCCTCACCCTTCGTCTGATGCTCAGCAGTCCTCCAGGGAAGCCCTTTATAACACCCAGGATCCTTGTTAACACGTTCCACCTGACTGTGCTCCCCAACATGCAAACGCACATACGTGCACCTGCACACTCGTGTATACACCTGCACCCCCCACCAAGAAGAGAAGAAAGGCAGGACTATGCTTCGGTCTGACCTGCTTTTGCTACTTGGTTCACGGGAACGCCGAGTTCCTGCGACATGTAGCCCAGAACGGAGAAGATGGCGAACCCCGCCAAGATGCTGGTGATGGCATTGCCCAGGGTGACGATGAACGTGTCCCTGCAGGAGAGGAAAGCAGGCAAAGTGAGCACGTCCCCGTCACGCTGAGACTGCGCTGGTCCCAGCGACACGAGAGGAAGACCGCAGCTAATGGGGCCTGGGACCGAGGACAGGCCACTGGTGCTGATCCACCTTGCGCAGGGGTCTTCTCCTTGGATGACTGGTGGACCTGGGGGAACACCCAGCTTGGGCCATGGGCCCGGTGCGGCTGTGAAACAACCTGTGTACTGGCCAAGCAGGCTTCCTGCTCCTCCGCGCACTGCAGAAGGAGACCAGAGGGGTGGAAGAGGCACTCAATGGGTGGGTTGTGCAAGGGAAAGGACCCTCTTGCACGTCAGAGGACACAGGTCTCTCTCTTTCCAGTGACCTGAGGGTCTCGGGCACTGCCGCCCTCCAGCTTGACTCGAACTCCCATCCTCCCTGTATCTCCCTGACTCAGGCCCACCCAGGAGGCCCCATCCTTGTCACTTGATGCTCCAGCCTATGTGGCTTCCCTTCTGGATTGGGCTTCGCCATGCTCGGTTTCCGCCCCCACCCTGGCCTGGAAACCCACCTGTAAATATTCTGGTGGAAGGTGTTGTAGGAGGCAAAGGTGAGCAGCCCCCCAAAGCCCACCCCGAGGGAGTAGAAGATCTGCAAAGCGGCTTCTATCCACACCTGCAGGGGGGAAAGCAGAGAGAAGCAGCTTTCGGAGCAAGGTGTTTGGGCTTCAGCTCTTTGCAATGAAAGCGCCTCTTGGACCTGGGAGCGCCCCAAAAGAGGAGACAATTCAACCTCAAGGCAGCTGATTAGTGATTGCCTCCCTCGGGCTGCTCTGCCAAGAGGCTGTCACCGTAAAGGCAGGGCCTGTTTGACGTCGGTCCAGGAGCTCTTCCTCTGGAGCAGCTGGTGATGGGAAGGACCTGAATTTAGCCCCTTTTATTCATTCAGGCTTCAGCATCTGGCAAAGTGCAGGCCTGCCTGGACCTCCCAAAAGCCACCGTCCCTTTGCGGCAGCTTTGAGATCCTGACTGGCTAGAAATTATTTGCAGTTTGGGGTTTTTTGAGGGTTTTTTTTTTCCTCTATGTGTATGCGTGGGTTGCTTTTTTTTTTTCCTTCTTTCAAAAGGAAATGATTTTACACCTCCTTCTGACAAGCAGGCAGCTGACAGGAGTGTTAATTGGAGCCAGCTATAACCAGCTTGACCTGCTGCGGCATCCAAGGTTTTTATCCGTGCATTTTCAGTACCCTGCTGCCCAGAGCTGCTTGGAGATGCAGCGGATAAAGCAAATCCCACCCTGGCCCTTGTCACTAAAACCCATTCCCTCCTATCATGATGCCGTTGACCCCCGTCCTTCATTTAAGGGAGTTGTCGGAGGCAGATAAGCATGTGTCTTCTCCCAACCTGAAAGTCAGTGAAAAGCTGCTTGGGAATTCAAATGTCTGGGGTGAGGAGGGGCTTTGGCTGAGCCCTGTGCACACGTGTGAGCGAGGAAGAGGACAAGAGGCAGAGACAGAGGCAAGGGAAGTTTCCACGTGGCTTGAAGGGCATGTGCTCAGGGCCGTGGGAAAAGCCCAGGGATGGAGGGCGTTGAGGTCAGGGAAGAGGCTTGGAGCCGCACAGCATACTCAGTAAAGTAGAGCTCGTCGCTTTTATAAAGCCCATCACCAAGTCCTCCCTCCACCCAGCAAAAGCCTGAATTTTGGGCCCCCCTTGGGGTGAGAAGAGCACGCGGGAAAGGCCTCCTCACCTTGGAAGACAGCAGGTGGTCGAACTGGGGCGTGAGATAAAACTTGATCCCTTTCCAGGCCCCTTCCAGGGTCACGCCGCGGACGAGCAGCATGAGCAGGATGAGGTAAGGAAATGTGGCGGTGAAGTACACGACCTGCAAGAAGAGCGCGCACGCCTCCGGGTGAGCTCGCGGCGGGAGCAGCTCGCCCCGAACAGGCGCTCGAACAGCACAGTCGTAGGCGAGCGAGACATCTGTGTCGCCGTGCATCTCCCGGCTACGCGGTCCCGCGAGCTAGGCACGGTTGTGTTGCCTGGGTCATTGTGATAGAACTAGAGAGCCGCTAACGCCACGCAAAGAGCAGTGCCACAACATCCATGCGGGGGAAGCAGTGCCCCTGCGTTCTGGGAGGGGGATGCTAGCTTGGCAAACTACCCCTTCTCCAAACCGTGCCCACTTGTAGCCACTGGATCGAGCAGGTCAGCTAGTTAATTGACTGCTTCCAGCCTACCCACAGGCTCGCCCGTGGGTGGATCACAGAAATAGATCCCTTTACTTCCCCAAGTCCGTGCCTGCAAAGCCAGAGACAGGGGGGCTGAGAAGGAGGACTGCTGCTGCTCCGCTTACCTTGCCGGAGGACTTGACTCCCTTCAAGATACAGAGGTATACAATGACCCAAGACAGGAGGAGGCACAGGCACAGATTCCAGCGGATTCTCCCAGGATCCCCGATCCCAGAGCTCCCTTGGATATGAAGAACATAGCGGCTAGGGCAAAAGGAGAGCCGTCAATAAACAGGCCGTGCCCCCCCTCCAGCAGCATAGCAGAGACGAGCTCTCCTTTCCGAGGTCTCGTCCTGAATTCAGCATCTAAATCTACCCTTGACCCTGACAAGGTGAAGGATACGGACAAATCTCTTGGCAAGGGCTGTCCTGCGTGGGACAAGGGTCTAAGCAAAGCCCTACGTTTGGGAGGCCTCCGGGAAACACTCTGCTCCTACAGCAATTAACACGAACGATATAAAGGAGCTGTTTTGGAGAAGCTTTAGGTCCCACTCCATCTAGTCCATGTGAAATCAGCCCCAAACAAATCCATACCCAAGGGACTTGAACAGGCCCAGAGACCCCCAAACATCTCGATCTCTAGACGGAGCCTCGCTCCTGGGCTACCCCTGCTAGACTGGGCATGTATTGTGGCACAAAAGCAATCTTCAAGGACCTGAAGGGTGGCTACAGAGAGGCTGGAGATGGGCTTTCCTCCATGACCATAGGGGACAGGACTAGGAGCAACCGTCCTAAGCTTCATCGGGGAAAATTTAGACTTTCTGCCTGGGCGTGAAGCAGGCTGCCTAGAGATACTATGAAATCTCTGTCTCTGGAAGTTTTCAAGAGCAGGTTGGACAGACACTTGGCTGGGATGGTTGAGGTCAGGAACGGTCCTACCTTAAGCAAGGGCCTGGACTAGATGGCCTCACGAGGTCCCCTACTTTCCTATCATCCTATGTATTTCTTCAAACGTGGCCACCCATGTGAATGGACCCACACCCCCTGCCAGCTCATCGGTACCTGGCAGCGCTGGGCGGGCACCCTGCTCGAATTCCCGACTTAGCCTCAAACACAGGAAGAGTGAGAAAATAATTGACTCCGATATACTCCGTGGGATGGCTGTTGATGACAACCCACAAACCACCGCCACCTGGTTTATGTAACCAGCAGCAAAACCTTAGTCCCCACAAGAGTTTCCCTTGCAAGGCAGCCACCTGCTAAAACAGCTGGAAAAACAGCCTGGCCTTTAGTGCATTATTGCTGACTGTGATTCAGAGGAAACCAGCCCGCATGCAGCAAACCAGAGTTACATCCATGCAGATGCTGAGCTACAGCCCCTGGGCGCCTCTGCTGCTTGAGCGACAGGGCAGAGCGCACCCGCGTCCGTGACTGCCACGCTCGTACTGAGCGCGGAGAGCAAGACAGGGTGCGAAGCTGGGGTTTTGCACATGCAACCGCTCCATCAGTGCAGACACGCAGCCCGCAGCGGTGTGCCCTCCCCGGGCAGTCGGAGAGCGGGGGTGCCCACCAGACCCATCTCCAGGACTCTCCTGCCAGCGTCACGCCGACCACCGTCTTTGCGGGCTGTCGGCTCTGCTACCGTCCTTACCTCCAGTACTCCTCGCTAGGGCTGACCGTGTTAGTGATGTTGAGGGGGAGAGCCGCGTTCCCCGCCTTGATGACATGGTGGTCCAGGCAAAGGTCGGTGTTCCACCAGTTGCCGCAGTGCTGCCAGGGCAGGTTGTTCGTCAGGGACGCGAAGAGGTAGAAGAGAACATAAGCAATGATCATGTTATAGTAAATGGCCACCAGAGAGACAATCAGGATCGTGCCCATCCCGACACCTAAGGGAGGCGAGATGCAAATACAGCTCAGTGCAACCGCAGAGACACGACGTCCTGGTATCCCTCTGACCTACTGCAGCGCCTCCCGAGCCTAGCCAGCACTGGGGAGCGAGTCTGAAATCAGCCCTAGCCCCCCGCCATGCCCAGGGCATCGTGAGACACTATGCAAGCCGAGACACTGAATAAAGCAGATTGAATAAAGGAGATCAAACATCATGGGGGGGATGTTGCCTAAGCACGTGCAAGGCCAAAGTCTTCAAGAGACTTTCGTTAGACCAACCAGATGTTTGCAACAAAGCTGTCTTTAACTGCAAGCATGCGGGCACAAACACCCTACGAAATATGAACTTGCATTTCTACCCAGGAGAACTTCGACAAGCTTTTCTCCTATGCCCGAAGAAGAGTGTTTGTGCCCAAAAGTTTGCAATTAAAGATTTTTTTTTTTTAAAATGTAGCTGGTCTAATAAAAGATATCACCTGTACCATCAGTCCTGACTTTTTTTTGCCTCTAGACCATTCTGGCTACAGCCTGGATGTCTAATAGACTTTGTGCTTTGTTGGCTTTTCCTGGTTCGTGTCTACACCTACGGGCACTACTCCAGACACACCCCAGCCTGGTCTTTTAGGGATGGTTTTGGATGTCACGTACACAGCAGTGGCCAGTGACTCATCTCACACGTTTTAGATTCTTTTAATTGGGGTGAAACTCTTGAGCTGGGCCCGAAGCCAACTCCTTGGAAGCCTTATTAGAATTGGTAATCGTTATATATTTGTTGGCTGATCTTCCCGATTTGCTGCTTTAGTTCCAGTCTGATATGGAGACCAGCTTGTCAGTCTGATTTACATTTGATAATTGCATTGCTTTTTAATTCTTGGTTGTGATTTTTCTTAATGGTTTGAATACGGTTTCAGGAAGATGGTACTGATTCTCGCTGCTTCAAGAGAGAGTCCAGGCCTTGTGGCTGGAACCCGGCGGGTCAGCTTAAACCCTCCGATCATCTCCCACTATTTCGACTGCTGATCCCAATACGTGCCTGAAGGAGGGCAGGATGGAGATGCTATTGAATCTCACCATCCAAGAGGGTCACGCACCTTTAAACAGCGGGCTTATCTTCCAGACAGCAAGGGGCCCCAGGCTGGAGAACTGGCCGAGGGAGAGCTCCATAAAGAAGATGGGGATCCCACATATTGCCAACATGATGAAGTAGGGAACCAGGAAAGCCCCTGCAGGAGACAAGGAAGGGCAGGGAGGGTGGGAATGGGCAGGGAACAGAAGGTCACTTCGCATCCAGGGACCTCCACGTGCCCTTAGCCAAAGCCTGGGAGGGTGCATCCCAAATACCTTCCCTTGGAAGGGGTAGGTATGGTCTTGGGGCTGTAGATGTGGGAAGCACCCCCCTACCACTGCAGCCCAGCCCCCTCTGCAATGAATTGCAGGTCCATCAACTCTACACGTCTGTTCCTAGGTCAAAGACTTTGCATCCAGCTCAAGCTGGGGAGATCTCTGGAGGATGTCGCTGATCTCCTGCTACAATGTGCTCAGGACCCCAGAGCTAGTATCCCTACACTGAAAATCCCACAAGCTTTATAGTGAACATCCAGAACTGAATTTCACCTTTCTTCTGAAAAGAGGCCACCTCCCACAACCCTTCAGTCCTTTATCAAGCCAGGAAGCATCAAAATCGCTTCCTGAGCTTGGTGGGAGTATCCAGGCCCAGCTTGGACCCTCCTCAGACTGTGAGATCCTGATGGGCAACTAATGCAGCCACGATGGTTTATTATTTACATATTTCCATGCAGGTTCCCCCCACCCCAACCTTGACTTCTCCGCAGACAGATTGTGAAATTCTCCTGTTGATTTATGGGTCCAAATCATCAGCAAAAGACTGGAAACCATCCTCGGTCTGCCTGCCTGCAGGCTGTTTGCAAATAACCCATCTTGAAGAAACAGGAGGTTGCGCGGTGCCCTCACGTGGCAGCGTCCCTGTTTCAAGGGCGGATGACTTACGCAACCAGCCGAAAGCATGACTTTCTGGCTGCGTATTCAAGAGCTACGTTGGCAACCGGCGTTCTGCACCGGTGCCAGTTCATTACTCAGTTGTGAAGCCTGTGTAATGCTCAATGCTTCCCCAGCATGCACGTCGGTGAAGCCTGCTCATCAGGGACTGCCCGGGGACTATTTGATGTTCTCAGGTCGCGGTAGAGTCCGCTGTTAAGGGACTGCCTGGGGACGGACTGTATCAATGGCACAACCACCGTGGAAACGAGTGTCTTCATAAGTGGCCTGAATGCCCGTGGGAAATGGATTGCTAGTGCCCACAATATGGGGGAGATAAGATCCCAGGTGGGGCATAATCAGGGGCTGCAAAAGTCCACTAAAGCCCGGCGTGTGTTCCCTTTTCAATCCCTGGAATAGCCTCCGGGCGACACAGTCCAGCACAGAGCTGGGATCCCCAAACGTGCACTGTCCATCCTTCCAGGACTTCACCAGAGGAGCCTGGACCTTCACGTGACAGGCACCAACCCTCCCCTGAACCATGCTGAGACAAACCCCCAGCGCTTCCCAGTGCCCTGCCTGCATCACGGTCCTTCCATCATGAACATGACTGGAAAACCAGAGGTTTCCCCACAGACTTCCTGAGCCTACCTCCATACTAGGCTGAATGTCAGGGGGCAGGAAGCATGGGTTTGGGGGCGCTACGTCCCAGCTCCCAACCATCCTTGTCTCTTAAGCCCCCACATTTTCTCTTCCCAGCCTGTCTGAGCGGGACTAGACAGACGAGGCGACTTCCTCCCACGGAGGCATCTGCACCCGCCAGCAGTATTATTCTATAATGTCCTTAATAAAAGATTTGGCCGCGGTGACTGGTTGGAGACACAACAGCAGGGAGGAGAGAAAGGGGCTTTATTCCTACACGCAGCCCACGGGGCCAGCTCATCCGAGGATGGGAGCACCGGTGCAGACCCTAACCCTGTACCTCCGCCGTTGGTGTAAGCCCTGTACGGGAACCTCCAGACGTTCCCCAAGCCCACGCAGTATCCGATGCAGGAGAGCAGGAAATCCAGCTTCCCGGTCCAGTTCCCTCGGTCTGCAGGGTACTCTGAGTCCAGGTCGCCATCACCTTGCTCGCTGGGGCTCAGCAACAGGTCTGGCGTTACGGGCTGAGACGAGCAGAGAGAGAAGAAGGACCAAAGGGAGACAAGGGAGGAAGGAGAGGGAGGAGGTGCATGCAGGAGCGAGGGGGTGGGAGGAGGATGGAGACAGGGAAGAGTGGCAACAGGTTTGGTGTGGAGGTGGGGAAGAGAAGGAGGTAGGAAAAGTGGGTGTGAATCCAGGCTGTCCAGGCAGAGACGCTGGCAGCTGCCGGGGACAGTCCAGCCTCGGTGACCTGAGGCCACCACGGGGCCACCAAGCCATGTGGCCCCGATCCTCTCTGGAAGTCCAGGCCCCCCGTCATGAGCACTCTCCAGCCTGCTTTCCCCACCAGAAAGTTCACAGGCTCAGCTGTTAAGGCCAGCAGGGACTAGCATGGAAGGACCTTGCATAAAGAAAGCCAGAGAAGCTGGGAGGAGAGAATAAGAGCCACGTCTGGTGGGTCATCGAGTGCGACGACCCCACAGAGCTAGAGGGAAGGGCTCCAGGTTACTGTCCCTTGGCCACTCCTGGGGGTTGAAATGATTTCCCCTAGATGCCCCAACCGTGCAAGGTCCCTGCAAAGCTCTGGGCATCTGTCCCGTCATGCAGCTGCAGACTGGCAGGGAATTAACCCTTCCCTCCCCTGGCCAGCCTTGAGCACAGGGTGATCTGGACAAGCCCCCCCACAGCACAGCCCCTGACCTGTGGAAACGTGCCGGGACACATGCCCCCCCTCCCTGCAGGCCCAGCTCTCCTTTGCCCGACTCAGCTGGAGCCATCAGGGGGACGGTTGCAGCTGGCCACGGGAGTCGCGGGAGCGAATGACGCAGCCTCGCGGGCAAATGGGCGAGGCCACCCCTATGACAGCGTGCCCCAGCAAGGCGTCTCCGCTCCTGGGGGTCTTCACATACAAGCTGCCCCCCATGAACGCTGGGGCAAAGAGGCATGTCCCTGGGAAATGCTCGGGGTGCACAAGGTCTCTGGATGGGGCCAGAGGATTCCCGTTTGGCCCTGAAGCTGGCTGCAAAGATCAGCCCTGCCTGCGCCCCTGGCCTGGATCTCGATACCAGCTCTCCCCACAGGCCATGGCATCGTGCTGGGGAGCCTGCCCTGCCGTCCCCGCACCCTCCTGGCTCCGTGGCTGCCGTCCTGCCCTTTCCTCCAGCACAGCGGGCCGCGTTGCAGCGGTGAAGTTCCTGCTGCTTTGTTGCCATGGAGACAAGGAGTTATTCAGATGGCAAAAGTATGCGCGAGGTAGCCAAGCTGATTGTGAAATGCACGTCCGCTTGTGATGTGCGAATCCTAGAACCAGCGTGTCGTAGAAAATGAGGGTGAGAAGGGACCTCCGGCGGTCACATCTGCTCCAAGCTGGACCAGCCCCAATTAGATCATCCTAGCTAAGGCTTAAAAACCTCCAAGGATGAAGAGTTCACCACCTCTCTGGCCACACACCTGCATTTCTGCATGGTCATCCATGGATGCATCCACAGGTGTGTTCAACACGCCCTGCACGCATATATGCACATACACATGTGGCATGGATATGTTTGCAAACACACGCACGGCATGCAATGGCACATGTAAGTATACAGTGCCCGTAGGTCCATGCACTTACCAAACCCATAGGCACAAAGTTCCTCCTAGAAAGCCTAGGCAGAATATAAGCCGAATAAAAAAGAAACGGTGTGCGGCAGTATAGATAGGATGCCTCAAAGAGCCGCACAGTGGACTCCAACTTGAAAATGCTAGACAGAATAAAAGCCAAGCGCTGACTTTTGAAGTCACCATTAACAATCCTCCCCCCCACCCCTCCGGATGCCTCTGAGAATACGAGGGCTGCATGAAAAATGCTAGAAATTCAGGCCAAGGAAATCATGCTTTCAGATAATACACCAGGGAGTGACTGAAACATTGCACCGGTGAAAACCCATCTGAAGCTGTTTAATTTAGCCTTCCAATCTGGGCACTTCCCTGAGACACTGCCACGCAGACTGATACCCAGCAACCTAGAGAAGTGCTTGTGTTTCCAGTTGCACAAACAAATTATTCCTTAACGTCCTTCAAAGCAGATCCGATCGCTAAACAACCTTTGTCCACGAGGGGCAAGCTGGAAGGGCCAATGGCAAGCAAACCACTGGCCACATCTTTGCTGTGCAGAGGACACGTTCAGCAGTGTAAAGACAACTAACGAGGCAAGGGATCAGTCTGCTGGGCTGATTTTGAAGCAGCGTTTGGGACAACGACCTCATTACTTCCACATTTCCAACTGCACATAAGCGCTTGAGCACCACGAGGGGAGGAAAGGGCATGAGACAAGAGCTAAGCTCAGTCCAGCCTCTTCCAGCACGACCAACTTTGCAACAGCACTTCTCAGACTCAAGTCTCCCACTAAACACTCAGCAGCACATGTGTGACGTGCCTCCCATTCGGCCAGCGTGGCAAGGACCGCTCCGAGGACCTCCAGATTTAACAGCTGGAGCTGGGCTGTTAATTGAAATAGCCAAACCTGAAAAGGTAAAACCTATAACAGAGTCCTCCTCTCTGGGCTGGGCACAGAGGGGCGGTGGTGGTCCATGGTGGATCTTGAAGGGCAATGTTGGCCTGAGCCTTTGTGTTGCCCATCCAGAATCCAAGTGTGTCCCCTCTGGTATTACCCTTGGGGCACTGAATGAAATCCCGGGGGATTTACAGCTGAATCGGTTCATTGTTTTGAGTTAAAATTTAATTTTAACATTTAGTTGCTCAAGAAGCTGGGCGCCTGGGTCAGACGTGGTATTAACAACAGAACAATGCGGGCTCTTTAGCTGACTACGTTTGGGCTACGTTTGGGTTTTTTCCTTGACTTCCTAACTGGATGTTTCTTCGGTGACGGCTGAAAAATACTGTTTCTTTAGACTCTCCAGAGAGAGCTGTGTGAAGACCTGGCATCTTGCAGAAAAGCTGTCAGCTCCTGCTGTGAGCATTGGGGACGAGGATGAAAGCACCCTTCACGAAGATGGCCTCTCCAAAACAGCCCTCGCTTTCCCTTTCTCCTGGGAGAAGGGAAGGCAAGAGGGCCTCCAGGGAACGGTGGATCCTGACATCTAAGCAGGGGGGTTGCTTCAGGTTAACAATCACTTGCTCCAACAAGTGATTTAAGTTTTAAACCAGTGCAGTGACTTTTCCCTTACAGAGCGGTTGCATGCAGAGATGACCGTACCCCGTTGCAATGTGCTCGGCCCTGGCAGACTCTCCCTAAATCCACAAACCAAATGTGAAAAGCAAGTGTCGCTGGAAGCCAGAGAGCAGCTACAGACCCGGAGTGAGGGAAGGGAGACCAAAACAAAGATGAATGTACTGTTGCAGGGTCCAAGACACCAGGGAGTGGGAGATTAGATAACCCCTCAAGTAAGTGCACATGATAAAAGACTTCAGCAGAAAGCAATAAGAAACAACTATGACTAAGCCAAGGACAGAGATAGCAGAGCCAGCACCGGTGTATAACCTGCCTTTGGGTCAGGGCTGGCAAATGGACCTAAGAATGCCCCCATAACTCTCTGAAACTGCATCCCAGGTGGATCCTGCCCAGGTGCAACAGAAGCTGATGGTTGTCCGGCCAACCTTGTGTTGGGTCCCTTTCTTGAAGCTTGGCCAAAGTCAAGTCAAAGCTAAATGGCCAGTGGGCCTAGTTTCTGTGACCAACAGCACACTGGGGAATGATGGGGCTAGGTCAGGGCCAGCCCGAATGAGCAGGTGCCCACTGAAAGCTGGGACCTGTCATCAGCATGCAAGGACCTGTAGACTTCACGCTCGCTTCTGCTTTGTGTGGAGGGCTGTGCAGTGAGCTCTTCTCCTCGTGCCTCGTGCCGTCTACACTCACACTCGCACTGAAGCCCGAGAACGTGGTACGCAGCATTTGGGTTTGCATGGACGAGGATTTAGTGAAGTACAAGCCACATGGCTTTGATAACTCGGGCCAGTCTCTAGCTAAAAACCACTATGCGCTTTTCTGGAAACGCACGGAGGGAAAAGTAGGAGTAAAATCCATCTTGCACAAGGCACTTCTTGTTGCTGGTTTAAACCAGACTTTCCACCTCCCTGAAACACGTCTGGGGAACAGATCTGAACTTCCCAACTCGCAGATGGAAATTGGAGCAAAATCAGAGGAAAGAGGTGGCGAGCTTTGAGAGACACGAAGGCAGGGAAGCCAATGCCGAACAAAATCTTCCATCAGTTGTACTGGGCTTCTTAGAGGAAAGTTGATGTCAGACACTAAAGATACCAACTCAACAGCTCTAGATGATCCGAACACATGGGGCCGCGGAAAATTATAGGGGCCCAGTCCTGAGCTCCTGCTACAATGAGCCCAGGGAGAGTTTTGCCAGGGGGAGGAAGGCAGGCTATGCTTAAAACATTTTGGAGCAACATGGCATCAACAGTTGGAGGAAATAACTTTGGAGACTTCTGCTTGTGTTTGCATTTGGCATTTCAGGAGCTAAGCAAGTCCCCAGTCAATGCCAGGAGGGATCTCGAACAGCTGTTGAGGATCTCTGGAAGGCTTTGGAAGAGCAAAGGACAGCTTTGAATGGATCCTGCAGCCGCAAAATCATCTGAAGAAGTCATTGGTAGGAAGGAGGGTGAGATGAAAGAGAGCAGCATGAGAGGAAGCAGGGGAAAGCCTCATGCTGAGCAGCGTTATGAGAGGGGTGCGTTGGGTGAAGACCTTCGCACTGGGCTCAGACACCAGGAAGGGGCCGTTCTGTTTGGCTCTGCACACAGATGTGAGCAGCTGGAAGCTGGCTCAGCTACAGCCTGCAGCAGCAGTGGCTGAAAACGAGGAGTAGGACCCTGTAGTATGTGAACAGGACCGAGCGCTCTACAGCTCAGAGCACCCCCGAAGCCACATAGGGCTGTCTAAGGCAGCTGGGGGTGACACCAGGAAGCTCCATATACTTAGGGAACTTTGCAACAGCTCCCAGCCCACAATGCACTCCATGGCTGCAAGCACCGGCCCTGAACACAGTGCACTTAACATAAAGATCCAAGCTGTTGCTGTCCAAATAATTACTGCACAGAGGATGGGGGGGAGGGGCGAGGGGATTTGGAAACCAAAGGTGGTAGTGTGTGTCTTTCATTTTGGGATGGGAGAGGAGGGGTGTCATCTTCAGGTGACCCAGGTGTCATTTTTGATGGGAGAAAATCAGTGAAGTTTTAACCTCATCAGTGAGCAACCTACAAGCCTTCTAGGTGAGCCAGGAAGCGATGCTCCGGGGGAAGGAGACAGCATCTGCTCCAAGGGCTCGTGCAAAGGCTTTGGAAGAAGAGGGAGGACTTGTTGATGGCAGGCTTTTAATAAGTCCCCAAATCACTTGCAAAAAAAAATAGTTGGTGGGAGGAGGGGAAGAGGGGAGAGCTGTGCGCAGAGGGAAACCAGAGCTGGGCATGGAAGACAGCCGCCCACTTGGGTCCTGCCAACCAGTCCTGTTGTTCCAAGCCGTGTCCAGCATGTTTCTCATGACAGCTGAAACACCTCCGTGCTTCATCTCATCCCTCCAAATGCTCAGTTAAAACCAGAGATGTGTTAGAGACTGCTCCGGATTTACCTGCCTGGCAGAAGGAGCATCCAAAGCACTGAGCTGGGTTTGTAGCAGACAGCAGGCGGGGGTAGAGAGAGCCTGGGAAATAAAAGCCTGGAAGCAGAAGCTTAAAATCACGTTCCCAGCCTAGCGGTGGGGGGCTCCAAAACTGCCTGTCTGAGCTCAGGACACATTGCCCACTGGCTGGCAGCCTCCATGGGGCCCCTCTGATAATCCCAGAGGAAAGGGAGGACAGCTGGAGGCCTGGAAGGTCTCTAATGCAAGGGATGGTAGGATGGTCCAGAAAGGCTGCAAAATTAGCAGAGATGTGATGGGGCAAGGTCCACCTTGCTGCTTTTAAACTGGCTTGTTAAAGAGACTAGCGGTGTTCTCCGTGTGCACCACAAGTCTGAGCTGTACAAAGAGCCCAGCCGGCATCCAAAACCTCCCCGCATAACCCACGGGCCTTGCACAAAGCCCCCCCGCTCTCCAGAAACCAAGCAACTTGCCCTGAAACATAGTGGGGTCTTGAGGGACAGAGAGAAGGGGCTGTCACCCGGGAACTGTGAGGTCTCAGGGGGTGAGCCCCGTTCCCGAGAGCCTGCCTTGAGGATGGCGAGGGAAGGCTCAGTAGGGTTAGGGGTGGGGAGGGGAGGCAGGAAGGGGAAGGGTGGAAACGGGAGGGGAGGCAAGGCAGAGGGCCTGCAGCTCCACTTGGCTGGATCCGGCCCTCGGTCACCCCATCCCAGTCCTCGGCCACCCCGTCCAGCGCACCAAGGGCACCCACGTCCCCCCGAGCCCCCCAGCACGAATCATCCTGCTGATGACACCTGCTCTCTCGGGAGAGCGTTGGGGCGGCACAGCCGGCGGGCAAGCACAGGCCCAGCCAATTAGCCGTGCGGGGATGTTTACCCAACTCACTAATTAAAGCAAGCGAGAAGAGCTCGTTATGAAATGACACCCACCCCACCACCCGCCCTCTTCATCGACTGCTGATCCAGCCTCTTCGCCCCACTCAGCGCTTTGCCTGGACTCTCCAGGGCCACGAGCTCCCAGGGGGTGACCCCTGCCCTCCCCGGGGGGAGATGCGGGCAGAGCCCCTCCACCTGCCCGGTGTGCAATGGGAAGGCATCGGCATGCAAGTCGGCCCCTTATATCCCCCTTATCTCCCCCTGCCCTCTTAGCGTGCCAGCCACAAGCTGCAGCCCCTTACCTTGCGGAGATGATGCTCCTGGACCGGCTTCATCCCGAAATCCTGTTGCTATGAGCTCCCCGCGCGCTGACACTTTGGCTGGCTCCCGGCGACCGTCTCTACAGCGATGGGGAGGGAGGAAGGGAGCACCCCGGGAACAGAGAAGGAAGGATGTGTCCCCCCTCCACCCTCTCGTCGTGTGGCTCGCTCCTCGCCTGGGTGCTCCTGGCAGACAGAGGCGATGTTAAGCCTGTGCAGAGCGAGGCAGAAGGAGAGGAGGTGCTGGGGAAGGAGGGGGGGCCGTGGCAGCCAGCAGCAGGGCTGGCTCTGGGTTGGGAGCTGCCGTGCGGCTTGAGCAGGCAGTGGGAAGGCGATGGCAATCCAAGGAGCTTCTGCTAAGGGGGGGTCAGTGCCCCCTGCCCTCCTGCAAGGTAGCCACGGGCTCACCTGGCTCCAGTGAGCTCCGGCAGGGCTTGGGCTCTGGCGTGAATGCAGCGAGGAAGTGAGGAGGAGATCGGCTGCACCACATGTGCCACGAGCTCGCTGCAGCTGGAGCTCTCCCTGGCACGGACCCTGCGAGCCAGGCGTCCTCGGGGGTCGTGGCCACACGGGAGGGCTCAGGCTGGGAGCAGCAGCTGCGATGCAGGTCCAGTGCGAGGGAGCCTGTGAGCCTGGGGTCTGGTGTGGCGATGAGGGGGGAGGCCTGGGGCCTGAATAACAGCTGCAGCTCGGGGTGACGTGGGTGAGCAGAGCTGCACGGGGTGGCCAACCAGGCAGGACACTTGCAAGTCTTGTCCGGACAGGTAGCAAGGCCCTGGGTCATTCTCCAGTCTCTCCTGCCATTAGGGTCACCCGGGACCTGCTTGCTCTTTCAGCCAGCCTGCACCCAGCCCTGGAAAAGACCCCTGCACCTCTCCATGCGCCCCGCAAGGAGCAGGGTCCGAGGGGGGGAAGCCCAGCTCTGCAGAGGAGACACGTGAGTGCCCAACACGCAGGAGAGCGAGGGGACAGATGCCTTGGCCCCCCAAGGGAAGGGCTGGGACAAAGCCAGCCCAGACTGCACAGCAGACCCCTTGCACGGACCCCGCCAGGCTTCTCCATGCCCAGGGACGATGCTGCTGGGTGCATTGCTGGCTCCAGAGAAGGGGAGCAGGAAGCCACACAGGCTCTCCGATGGCCCTCCCCTTCCTGGAGTCCCAGCGATGCATCCTGCCACCAGCACAGCCCTTGGCCCATGCCTGGCATCCCTGCTTCCCCTGCTGATGGATCCCATGTGGAGATCTTGTGGGATCCTGGGGAGTGGGAGGCACGGCTGGGGAGGAGAGGAGGATCTGCCAGGCCCCTATTGCAGGGGAAGAGGGTCCTTCCTCTCCTCCCTGTCCCTGAGCGTGCCTTCAGCTCCCCGTGGGGCACAACCCAGGCAGGATGGGCTGGCTAGGAGATCCCTGCAACCAAACAGTTGAATTAAGGGACGCTGCAAACAGCCAGGACCCCCGAGCTCCCATTCACGGTCTGATAAGGAGCCTGGTGGCAGGGCTGAGCCCCTGGGACCATGCCAAGACGGAGCTGAGTCTAACACCTGCAGCCTCTGCCACCCATCATTGCGGAGGAGCCTTGTCTGCAGCCCGCAGCATCTGTTTCGGGGCAACGCTCCAGGGATGCACCAAGGCTCGGGGTGGGAAGCACCCGCGAGGGTGAGACAGTCCCTGGTGAAGAAGTCCCCGGAGCAAGGAAGTGTGTTTGGAGGGGCTGGCCCAGGGGATGCCCACCGCTCTGGCCTCGCTGGCACCGAGGCCAGGCTCTGCATGCAGCTGCAAGGGGAGGACCATGCACTGGGGCCGGTGAGCCTGCAAGACCCCAGGGCAGTCTGCCATGGCAGGCGATGCCACCCAGCCCATTCGCTGCCCCCAAACGAGAGCAGAGCAGCCCAGCGGGTCAGACACGCCGTGTGCAGCACCCGCAAGGCAGCTCTGGGCTGTCATCTGCTCCGATCCCTCCAGAGGCTCCATCTTCCTCTGCAGGGACTCAGATCCGAGGCCTGGTCCTAGCAAGCGCTGGCAACCCGGCACGTGGCTGCAGCAAAAACCCAGCCAGCTGCGGCTCGGCAGCCAGGCCAGGGCCGCACGGCGCCTGGGCTGGACCTCCGCTCTGTTTGCAGGGCACGTGAAGCCAGTGGCTTGTGCTCAGGGGATGTCAGCCCCGCAGCCCTTCCCAGCTTCTGGGTGAACGCCCCGCTCTGGACACTTTCCCTCTGGGCAGCTCCTAGTGTTGTCCAGGCCCTTCTTCCCCAGGGGGTGAAGTGGAGGGGCCATCTCAGCTGCATGAGTGTTAAGGCCTGTCTGCATTATGGGGCTGCTGCCCCTACAGCTTTGCCGATCCGGCTACGCGGTGGAGGGCAGCTGCTGGCCTGGATAAATCTTTTCCCTAACTGAGAAGTCACAGTCACAGTGGCACAAGGGCTCCTGGCTGCCAAGGGTCGATGGCTGTAGGACCCCGCTGAATGTCCCCACCCTCACTTGCATGAACATCTGGGGACGGCAACAAGGCCAGGGGTGACAGGGATGCACAGTGCACGCGTGTCCTGCCCGTTGCTCGCGGTTGCGGGCCGAGATCCTCGGTGAAGGTCAGCGTGGCTGTTCCCCGCACCTGCTCAGCCAAGCAGCTTGTCACCTGTCCCCATGAGGGCACTGTCTCTGCCACCCATTGCCATCACAGCCCCACCCTTCCTATTCAGTGCCCCAATGCTTTGTTTGCATTTCAGGGACACGAGAACACAGGAGGGAAGAAGCTGCCATGTGGTTATGAAAACTACCCCTGCGCAAGGTCGCCGGAGCACGTACCTCCCTGCAAACAAAGCCACATCAGCTGTGCGGACATCAAGCTACGGTCTTGTACTCGACACGAGGAAATTTTCCTGGCAGGACTACACCTAGGCAATTAAATGGCTATGGTTGCACTGATATAAATCCCCACGTGGACTCTGGTTTGGAAACAAGAATGCCTTTTAGCTTACGTTGCTTTGAAAGCAGTATCATTATGCAGGAAAAGACTCAAGTGTGTGAGGATAAAAAAGCCCACTCAGGAGTTATGTCCACATTACCTGCAGTGAGAAAATACTACCTGAATTGTTCTGCCAGGAAATGGCCCTGGGAGACCAGCCCCAGCTCCCAGGAGATGTGACTCCATCAGCAGAGGTCTGGCATAGCACCGTCGCCCCTACGGCAGGAGCTGGAGCAGTTCAAGAGCGTGGATGCATTATCTTGCATCCATGTTCAAAGGTCAGTAGAGGTGGACTTGATACATTCAGTCTGAGATGAGAGGGGGGAAATGATAATAATAGCCCAGGAGAACCAAAGCAAAGCCTGAGTGAGAGAGAGCACGGTGTGTGCGGCTCTCCTCTACCGGGTGACAGCAGCTCCTCCAAGAACGCTGCACGCAAAGCCGGAGAGGATGGAGGAAGCAATGCATCTAAATCCATCACCCGTCCTTGTCAGAGCTGCATCCCCTATGCGCCCGGCCCCCCGCAAGCGCTCGATGCTAGGAAGCATAAGCAAGAGCTTGGCTATCGCAGCGGGAGAGGAAAGGGGTCGGTTCCTCTCGCGCCCACCGAATTGCCACCCACACCCTGGCTTCGTGGGCCAGGTAAAATCACTGGGCAGACTAGATCCAGCCGCAGGTCGTGGGATGCCAACCGCTGCTCTAAGGCCTCAGGGCCACAGGGGCATAAGCCACCATAGCCAAGATCCATCCCTTACCGTCAGCTGTGGAGGGGCGAGGAAGGATGGACGATGGGCCGTGTCCATCCTGGGCTTGCTGGGACCCTCTGCCCCACCCACACCCTCGCCTAGGGGGGCTCTGTGGTTATTACTGACCACTCTCCAGCAAAAGGAGAGTTTCAGCCTCCTCTCCAACCCCACTAAGGAGCCAGCGTGGGAGTCGGAGCCACCCTTGGAGAAGGCACAAGGTCAAATTCTCTGCCCCAAAGAGCTGAAAATCTAGCGGGAGCATCCAGAGCCCCTGGGTGTCTGTCCCAGCTGTCCTGGCAGCTGGAGGTGATCCTCCTGTTCGGAGACGTGGGTCTCTGCTTTGCAAGGAGGCCGATCCAGCACGGGTTCTGTCGTGCAGACGGCTGTGGTCGGGGCTCCTTGTTGGCTTGGGGATGCCTTGGCTAAAGCCAGGCCCCTGGCAGCAGTGAGGCGTTGAGATCGAGGAGACACTGAGAAGAGCACAGAGGAGCTCCTGTTGCTCCGAAGCCTGCAATGCGGAAATACATGCAGGCATGGGCCAGTGCATTCACACACATGCACGCGTGCGTGCATACGTGTGCACTCGGGCGTAGGGGAGCCGCGCTACTCCAAACCAATCCAGAGCTCCATCTGCACCTGTCCCCTGCCACCGGTCTAGCCATCGCTGTGACCAGCACGTGGCACCTGGACAGGGGACAGCCTTGGGCAGGAGAGCTCAGCTCCAGGCTGTAAATCAAATTGCTCCCTGTCGACCGGTCCTGCCCCAGCCCGCGAGCCCGACAGGTGCATTCCTAGCCCAGGTAAGGCGGGGGAGCTCGCGGGAGGCAGCAGGGCATGCGGGTGAATTTACTGCCCGTTCCCGACAGCGCCTGCTGCTGCTGACACGCACCACGGCAGGGACCCAAGGGCGCAGCTCGCAGCCCCGTGGACTTTTACCCTGCTGTGCAAACAGGCCAGGCCTGATACAGTATCAGCCGGAATTTCATCCTGTCAGCGCGGCAGATGTATCTCGTCTCCCTCCCCGCACTCACCTCACCCCTTCCTCCCCAGCCCTGGGCTCTCTCCATCAGGGCCCTTGGCTCATGCATGCACACATGCATGCCCACCGATGCACACGCACGGCCTAACACCCCCCTTGTGCGTGCAGCCCCTGATCTGCCCCATGCTCACGTTAGTGACCCAGGCAATCCCGCTGAGGAGGTGTCTGTGCATCCCCGTGCCCCTGCAGGGGCTGGTCCATGTGCACAGGATTGCCTGCACCCTTCCAGACCCAGCCGCGAAGAGCTGGGCTCCCTCCTGCCCCTCTGCCTGCAGTCTCCCCTGTGTGCCTGCTGCATTGATCCCCTGATACCCACATCTCTGACCTGAAAACCACTCTCCTTTCTACCCCAGCTCCCTCCCTGCCTCCTGTCTGCCCTCCACAATGACGTGTCTTTGCACCTCTGCCCACCCGACCCGCCGGCTTGAGCATGACTCCCGTGTCCCTGCCCCTCTCCTTCCCTCTGGCTGCAGATGGAGAGGGGGCATCAGCCACCTGGAGAAGGATTTTTGCCCCCGCGTGCTGTTGCCTGGGGAAGCCGACCTGCCCTAGCCACCTAGGTCGGAGAGGACCGTTGACCGAGCCTTTTGCGTCTATGGAGAACAACGTGTTCCTCGCAGGTGGGTTTCTTGCCAATCTTTATTTTAAAGATTTCTTTAAAAAAGATTCCACATCATATATACAAAAAACTGAGCCAAAAACCTGAGCAAATATCCCTGAAGGGCCTTCACCTCTGGAAGCGGCAGGGAGAGAGACACGTCTACCTCTGGGATGGGACGAAGGGCTCACATCTTGCCAGGCAGAAGCTTCTCAATGCTCGGAGGCAGAAGAGGTGCCCTTTGAAGCCCTCGTGGAGATCTTGGTCTCCTGCTCGACCCCTTTGCTTTCTGGGCTGGAAGATCAGGGCCACCGTTGTGGCATTCACCACCACCTCCTGGAGCCCCCAGCCTCCTGCCACCCCCAGCAACAAATGTGTGGGTGTGTTAGAGGGCTACAAAGCGGGCCTCCACCAGTCCTTCCTCTGAGGGAGCTTGTCCCCTCTGAACGCCGAGCCTCCACCAACCCAAGGGATGCCCGCAGAGGACTCCAAGCTAGGTTTTCCACCAAAATCAGGGTGTGGCAGGGCAGGACAGATTTGGAGAGCCCATCTCCTTCTGCATTAGACCTCAGGCATTGCACCCAAAAAGGCCGCTACATTTTTACCTCTGTGCTCAAGCCCACATTCACAGCAATAGCTCAGGAGCGCACAACGCAGCCGAGGTTGCGTTGCTAACTAAATTTGGCTCCTCTCCTTCCTGAGGGTTGCACTGAGTTACACTGACTGCCAGGGTTTCAAGGGGGCAAAATGACAGCTACAAATGCAGGGACACCCTCCCCAAGCTGGCAAGTGGAAGCAGGGGGAAGTGGAGCCCATCAGGCCAGTTGTGGACCCGCAAGGGTTGTCCCCAGCCTGGGTGACCTCCCTGTGCCCAGGTTCCTCCCAACACACAAGTCCACTCCAGACCTCGGTCTTAATGGTTTAATAAAGGGCCCCCATGCCCCTGGACCACAGCGCGGGTGAGTGGCAGGATCTGGGGGCTTTGTAGCAAGCAACAGGGGAGCTTAGGAAAAGAACGCCATGCTTTTTGGGGACCCGCCACTTGTGCAACACAGTCACAGAGCATCGTGCACGCAGGGCTCTTGCTGTGCTCTTCTCCATACGACATGAATGCCCTCTCGGGTCCCAGGCTGGTTCTGTATAGACTAAATGCAGCAGCTGTGGGCACTGTCATGCCCTGGAAAAGTGCCACCCAAGTCCCAGCACGCGTCCCCGTGGCACTTCATTTCCCCCGCAAGCTGGCAGAGCTCTGGGGCCTCGACCAGCTCCGGGACCACAACGGGTCAATCCCAGCCTTGCATCACAGCCCTGCTCTGAACTTGCCCGGTCGCACGGGTGCCAGCTGTGACTCCCCCAGCCCCCTACATCAGCGGGTCATTCTGCCCTGCCGTTAAGCCCTGTCCCAATTACAGATGTTCTTCTGGATATCTAATTCTCCTGGAAGTTCAGGCTGCTCTGATGGGAGGGCTTTTGTAGCCTCTGCATTGAAAGGCCCCTTTAGGCATAAATGAGCTACCAGTGGCACGTTCCCTTCCCCTCCAGCTCACACCCACAGCAGGTTGTTTCCACGTGGGCAACAGCTTGCAATCCCCTCTCCGCGTGGCTGGAGGACCCAGGCTTCGTGCCTTCACCGCTGAGACCTTGTTTCACTGGAGCAACGAGGGCAATGAGTTTGCTGGGAGACGGGGAGCCCTCATGGAGACTGCAAGCCACAGTGTACAACTGAGCACCCTCGCCATGTCCTCAGGAGGATGCCCAGGCAGGATAGCATCGGCAGGGCAGCGTGGGTGGGAGCCCGTAGACGGGCAGCGAGGGTGAGGAGCAAGGGCTGTGGGGGACCCGTGTGTTGCAGGGGGCAGATAGGCTGGCTACTTCTGGTGCTAGAAGCCTCTTACGGAAAGGAGGGCTTCTTGTCCCCCGCCGGGCACCAGCATGGGGCTTGTCCCTTCAATCCTGCCCTTCCCTCCAAACCCCAGGTGCCAAGGAAAGCTGCTTCCCGACAGTACATTTTGCTGGGATTTTCAGTTCAGCCCTTTGAGAGCTACCCCCGGGGCCCTTTCACCCAGGAGACAGGCAGCGCCACTGATAGGGGAGCCCCCCGACCTTCCTAAGGGAGACCCCCGACCTTCCCTCCCACCCGCCACGCTACCCTGCTGTCTTGCTTCTTCGTTATATAAATATGGGTGGCCGGATCAGGCTGTGTTTCCTAAAACAGAGCAACAGTCACTAACCTACTGGGTCTATACAGAGAACTGAGCCCACGACACTTCTGCAGCGGGGGCCCCCTCGGCTGGCTCAGGCCCCGCCGCGGCATGCCTCGGTGAAGGGGTGGCCGCTCTCGAGCACCGTTTGGCCGCAGGGGGCTGGCGTCTGAGTCTGGAGCAGCCGGGTTAAGGCAGGAACTCTTCCTTGATAGCCAGCGGCGACGACGAGATCAGGCCGGTGGTGCTGCTGCAGATGCCGGCGATGGGGCCCGGGGTGCCAATGGCCGGCGGGGTGGGCGTCGTGGTGCTGGCGGGCTGCGTTTGCTGCTGCATCTTCTTCTTGTTCACCTTCCTCTCCTTGGCTCGCCGGTTCTGGAACCAGATTTTCACCTGGGGAGACGAGAGAGTGATGGATAAGGCAAGCGGGGGTAGCGGGGAAAGGGGTTGGCGGAGCCCCAAAATGGCAGAAAAGTCACGGGATGGGGGTAGGGGCAGGTGGAGGGCGGCAGTGGAGGGTTGGTATTTGCAGACGAACGTAAGGCCCATGGACCGGGTCAGCCCCTAGGTGCACCCAGCCCAGTCTCTGTGCCCCATAGTGAGTGGGGTCTGGGCAGGGGTTTTCCCCTGCTCCTCTCTCCCTTGCAGCTCTGCATTTAGGGTCTCAGAAACTGTGATCCAGCAGCCGTGCCCCTCGCTCCCCTGCTCAATAGTGACCCATGCCCCTTTCCTCCAAGCCTGAGTCCAACCCCTCTCAGCTTCCCCCCACAACTGGTGGCAACAAGTGCCACCTTTTAATGACACACCAAGTGAAAAAGGACTTTCTCGTGTTTGCTTTAAACTCACGACGTGCTCGTTCCATGTTGTGACGCCTCCTTCATGTCTGGTGAGAGTCAAGAAGACATCCCTAGTGCCTTGCTCTTCGCCATTAAACCCTTCTCCTGTCCCCGCTCGAGCGTCTCTTTTCTAAACTGAACAGGCCTGGCCTCGGGGCGCCTGCCTCCGCTCCCCACTTCCCACCGAGCTCTCGCCCGCTCCCCACCTGCCCTGCTGGGGTCCCAGCTCTCGCAGCATCGCCCGAGGGCACGGCTCCAGAAAAAGGAGCCGGTCCGTACGGGTCCCCAAGGGCCTGACCACTGGGAGCAGCCAGGTTGAACATCCCAGGCACAGACCTCCACCGCCCCTCAGCTGTCTGCGCTCTTCCCAGCCCACGTCGGAGGATCCCTTCGCCCCAGCACTGACCTGCCGTTCGGTGAGCCCCAAGGCAGCCGCCAGCTCTGCCTTGCGCCGGATGGTGATGTAGCGGCTGAAATGAAACTCCTTCTCCAGCTCCAAGCGCTGGTGGTCCGAGTACACCACGCGGTACTTGTCTTTCGTTCGGGTCTTGCCTAGTGGAAAGACCAGGGAGGAGGATGCTGTTGGCTGGAGTGGGGACGTGGAGACAGAAGTGGGCGCAGAGAGGCTGGAGAGAGGCTGGGCAACACTGCTGGCAGAGAGGCTGGTGCACAGGCCATGTGAGGGGGGGGATGAGGGGCAAGGAGAGCTCCTTGGGGGAGGAGGAGCTGGTGGGTTTGCCATCTCAATCTCGGAAAGACTGGCATGGGGAAGAGGCAGGAGCACACAGACTTGGACCTGATCAAATCTCGGGAAAGTTTCTAACTCCCAAACCTGGATGATGAGCAACATTGCCTGGCCAAGCTGGGAAGTCTCCTTCACTGGAGGCTTCCCAGAGGGCTTTGGGATAACATATCCTGCATCTCTGCAGGGGGCTGGGCTGGGGTCCCTTCAAGCCCCATGGCAGGGGAGCATTGCTACGGACCCCAGCCTGCTGCTGGAGGAAACACCAGTTAGCCACAACCCAAGGGGATATGCAGAGGCGGGGGAGCACGGGGCCACTGCAAGGCCCCGGGGACCAGAGGCCAGGCACGCTGGCACACCCCTTCACAAGCAAAGCTGAAGGGAAGCTGTCCAAGCCATTCCAGCAGGCCCAAGCCCCGCAGAGGCCGACCCGCTGGAAGCGGGGAGCTGGCTGGCGACAGGCGACTGAAGAAAGGAAGGAAGGTAGCAGTAGTCTGTGGAGGAAAGAGAGCAGTAACCGGCTCCAAAGGCATGCAAGGCAGGAGACATGTAATAGCGGGAGCACGGGACTGGGAGCCAGGAGACCACAGCTCTGGTCTAATCTCTGCCACTGAACTGCTGACTGGCCTTGGTCAGGTTACTCGTCCCTCTCATCCTGCACTTCCCACCTTAAGCTTCTCTTCTCTGAATAGAAACTCAAGACAGGGGCTTGGCCTTCCTGCACACTTGGTCACTGGTCGGTGCAACGGGGCCTGGACTTGACCGAGTGTAGACCTGCTACTATGGTGCAAATAATAACAGAGAAGAGAGGAGACCCTGGATGTGGGAGGTAGCAGCCCTGCCCCCATGATTTTACCAGGCCAAAAACCCACAGGGCCAATTCTGTTTCCACGTACTGACCCAGACTCCTGGAGATGCCCGTGCACGATGTGCCCGGGTATGAAATACAGCCATGTTTGCTAGCAGCTGCCCAGGGAGGAACATGGAGAAAGGGCTGAGCATGGCAGGTGCTATAACAAGCATGCACCACCGCTGCTTGAAGAGGGCAGCATCGCTCGGGGGCAAAGGTTGGCATCCAAGCGGTGCCTGCTAGCGTGGGTTTGTGTAACAGAAACCAGGGTGCGTTTCTGCATGAGCAATTCCTCATCAACCTTTGACCACTTGGCCCCAGTGTTTAGTTAGGCAAAATGGAGGGAAAGAGGCTTGCTGAGCTGGTGGAAGATGGCGCCAGTGAGAGCTTTGCATTTCTCATTGATCAGGAATTCACAGATTTTTTTTTGATCCAGTAAGGGCTTTCTTGGAAGTCTTGTTCAGAGTCTTTGGTTTGGTTTTGATAGGATTCAGGAGGGGCCTTGAGAAGCAGCAGGTGTGATCTGGTAGTGATGTGGGAGCTGAAATGGGCACTGGGAATAACTGATGCCAGGTGACAATGGGTTTGCTATAAAGATGGCAGATAGACTGCAGTGCAGTGGTATATACAATACACCCGGTGCAGCATGAATCATGATACAGAGCCAAGCAGAGACGAAGCTACAAGCACAAAAACTCTCCAATGGATCCCAAATTTTGCTTCTGACACCTGTCTTTAAGGCAGCTAATTCCACGATATCATGAGATTTTCTCCCTAATGGTCAAAGAAAAGCGAGAGATGATATCCTGGTTTTCTGCACTAGTCCCTTCCTTATATCCCACTTCAGTATATGTAAAATAAGGGTGAAAATACAAACAATAATGGAACAAGCTTGGTAGGAGGTGCTGGGGGATTTTGCAAAGTATGACCCACGCAGCAAAGAAAATGGTAAGAAAAGGAGGTATCATCCATCCATTGGTCTCATGCACAAAGGTTTTGGCAGATCATTCTGGGGTCTGAAAAGCAGCACCTGGGCTTTGCGAGACAAATAGCTAGGTGTGAGCAACCCACATCTGTAGCCAACTGACTCCCAGCGGCTGCCTGACATTCAGCGCTACAGGACCACTGGGGTCCCCGCGGACAAATGAGTCACACACAGCAGCGTCCCTCTATACAGACCGACCTTTATGCAGAGAAAGGAAACGCCGTCCCTACGTGCACACCAGGCCTTGAGCAGGCCCCGCACTTATCTTCCTACATCCTTGGGTGATTGCGCTCGGGTCGAGGCTTCCCCACGGTCATTTTAAAACCGCTCAGAGGAAGGACTACTCACGCCCACATCGAGTTTGCTAATGATTTGGTCTCCCAGAGAGAAGACAGCAAACCCACTTGTGTCTGGCAACAGGTAAAGTCTGTCCCAGGCCGTCAGGAGCGAAAGGGGTGATGCTTTCATCTGTATAGTCAGCACCTCTCGCACTGGGAATTGGTCCTCTTGTTTTCCCAGAAAACAAAGGATAACAGATGGATGTGACTGACTTTTCCTAAAGTCGTGCCAAGGAGACTGGAGCAATGGCGGCGCATCCAGAGGGCTCCATGGCTTTCAGCTGAGATGCTCCTTATTTACAAGAGTGCACAGAAAGGCAGGATTCGAGCCAGTATTGTTCACCCTCCAGAGGCTCCCCTGGTCTTGAGACAGCATGGAGGGAAGGAGATGACCCGAAGCTAGCAGGCAATGGGCCAAACCCTGTCCCAGTGACACCAGTGTAAATCCGCAATAAGAGAGGGAGGCTTTTTGTTAGAGCATCTGGCATGCAAGCAACTTGCAGGGCATTAAAGCAGGCAGGGTCTTACCACCCAGGAGCTGAGCAGTGCCCACTCCTACCTTGCAGCAAGGGCATGGTAATCCAAGGCAATTTAGCCCTGTTTCCGCTCCGTTCGGTTCCTGCTTACCCTTAGGGCAGCGCGGACAGGTGGGCATTTACCCTGCATCTGCTCACCCACTTCAACATAATGGCTTGCCCACACCCAGAGATGGATCCTCCTGCCTGGTGATGGCTGGTGCCACTTCCTTTCAGAGGACGTAGGCATGGAGGCATAGGGGGGATGACTCGGTGGCCCTCAGTCCTCCACTTGCATGTTTGTGCAGCCGCCTCTGCAGCCAGCTGGGACCTTACACGGGTGGGCCCTTGTGTCCAGTCCTCCTGGCCAGGCTGAAAGCACTGCTATCGCTTCCCATCCTGGTCTGACCTCTCTGCACAGTTAAGGAGGGAGACACCTCGAGAGGGAAAAACATGGTGCCCCTTTCAAGCCCTCCCTGGGTGGCATTACCCCTACTGGGGGATAGTGGGAGTCCAGCAGAGTGGGGTTTTGCCCTTCCTTTCCCATCTGGATTGAATGGGGACATTTTTTAATTGCTTACTTAATCTGGAGAGGGGAAAGAACGGGGCTGGGCCCGATGGGATGCAGTGTAGACGTCCGTGTCACAGCTCCGATGCCAGAGGGACAGGAGTGGCAGCGAGGGCTAAGGGATGCATGGCCCCATGGAGTGATTTATGATGGGGCGGGGAAAACAAGGGGGAAACTGAAGCCACAACAGGTGGTGGCCAAGGGTCCAGGCACCAAGCAGCTGCGTTTCTAATGAATAACCCAGCCCAGGCAATTAGCTTCCTGCTTTCAGTTTCCCACCAAGCGGAATGTGTGTGTGTGTGTGTGTGTGTGTGTGTGTGTGTGTGTGTGTGTGTGTGTGTGTGTGTGTAAGCACATGTAAATATGTGCATATGTCTGTGTGCATGTGTGACTTAGACTCGGTGCATGCATGAAGCGGCTGATCCTGCTGGGACTTGACCCGAGGACCCTCCTGACACAAAAGCAGCAGCCTTCCTATTCACGCCAGAGCAGCATTTCCATTCCTATGTCATCTCCAGGGGCTTTTGTTGCCTCTTCCGAGGCCTCTGGCTGAAGACACCATTGAAGTGCATGAGTGGGGCAAGCAGAGGTGGGTGCGTTTGCATGCATCTGCAGTGTGTGTTTGTGCCCGTGGGGAGGCGTGCTCATCCCCCATGGGCAGGCATGGCATGTCAATGGGAACACGGGTTTGCAGGATCACCCGTGTGAACGGGGCAGGATTTGATTTCCAGCCGAATAACAACAGCAGATCCCAAAGCAACTTGCAATGGCCAGCTAAGCCTCCCGACGCCTCTCTGAAGACAGCAGCCTGGGTCTCAGCCAGAAGCAAACCCCAGTCTCCTGACTCCCACTGCCATGGTCACTACACCGCGCTTGATGGAAAAGACCTAAGTGATCGATGCTCTTCATGCCTGGATGGTGGAAGAGACCCAAAGCAAGGACCCAGCGCTGCTCGCTTGGCTCTGTTCCGAATTCCTGCTCACGGGCAGCAGGAGCAAACACTTTGAAACCCAGTTGTCTGGTTGCTGCGTGTGAGCCCGTGCAAAAAAAGAGCATAAATATGGACAGAGACGCAGGATCATGAGGAAGTCGAGCTAGAAGGGTCACCGAGCCCCAGCCTCTTGCTCAAGGCAGGATCACCCCTGGCTAAAACATCCCAGCCAAGTGTCTGCCCAACCTGCAGGGATGGAGATTTCACAGCTTCTCTAGGGAGCCTGCTCCAACGCTTGACACCAGCACAGACAGCATTAACCCCGCCACTCCTTATGTTATGGATGCGCCGTCGCAACCCCGTGCTCAAAGCAAGAAGATACTTTGCATAATAAATCTTGATTTCCCCTCTCTCCCACCCCGCATCCCTCCCCACAAGGTCTACCAAATCGGTTCCTTCCATCTGCAAAGTGACACGTCGAGTGTCCAACCCCGACGGGATTTTTGCCCAGGCTCTTCACAAACTCCAAGGTGGATCCCACCGGCTGCTTAAGGGCTACGCGACTACAGAAAAAAAATTACGGCTTGAAGTTGCTAGCTACGGAGACTGAAACTGCTGCACCT